CGCCAACGGGAAATGCAGGCTCTGACCCTGGCTGTGTCTACATCTGTAATTTTAGGCAAATTAAGCTCTCCGAGCCTCAGTTTCCCTGTCCATAAAAATGGGGACAGGCATGGTAGCCGCCACAGGGGACTGTGAGGACGAACTGAAAGGACTCCCGTGAGGCCCTGGCACACGGCAGCCGCTCAACAAGTAACGGGACACGAGTTAATCATTGTCCAAGGGCTTACTGTCCCTGACACAAAGGAAAGGCCTCCCTAGCATAAATTTCTATTTCTGAATTAGTGGGGTACGGAAGAATGGGGAGGGGGGCTGCACTGCGTACTGCGTAGTCGCAAGGTCTCCTCGACTCTTTGTTTGCTATGACAGGCTCTGGGTGCTGGGCCAAAGTGCTAACTTCCTTGCATCCCAGCTCTCCCGCCTACAAAATGGAAGCACGATTACGGCCCCTGCACGAGGATTAAATTAGCGAATACGTAAAGCACTCATGATGGTGCCTCATACGTGCAGACTCAGCAAGTAGTAGCTTCTATCTTTCTTGTCTAAGGCCAGGAGGCGACTCCAGACACCACGAGAAAAGGCCACTGAAACGCCACCATGGATGGCTGAGAAATGCCAGAGGGACGTGTCATCTCTAGAAGGGGAAAACCCCGAGGAAGGCAGGTAACAGCTGCGGAAACAGGGAAACTCAGAAACAGCTCCGGCACACAAGCAACCAAGAAAGGGAGGGTTTGGTGACTGTTTCAGAACACTGAGACGTGGGCCCCTGGGCTGGTAAAGTGGGCCACGGCAGGCTGGCTCCCTGTGGAGGCTCAGGTGGGACGCCAACAGACGCTGCCCTGCCCAGGGCAACATGACCGCCAGCACCCAGAGGAGCGGGCGGGAGCGGGCTCCGGGCCTTCTCACAGGCAATCTTGAGAGCTCAGCATTTCTGCAAACGCCTTCCGGGCCGCCTACAGATGGGAGCCAAGCCCTCTGAGCCAGCCTGGCCCTCCATGCCAGGGCCGTCAGACGGCCATCCGTGACTTTATCCTAGGCCCCCTTAGTTCCCCAGGGCAGGGCTTTCGAACTTCCGGGCCACGGACAGACCTCAGGAGCGTGTGCACATGCCTTTATGGACTGGCTCCACAGCTCTCCCTAGTTGTCGATCCAAGAAAGCTTAATAACCATTACTCCGGAAAGTTCTAATTGCAGATTCTCTTTCTTTCTTTTTTTTTTTTTTTTAAAGTAATCTCTACACCCAACATGGGACTGAATGTGTGACCCTAAGATCAAGAGCTGCGTGCACTCCTGAGCCAGCAGGCTCCCCAAAAAATGACTTTTTAAAAATAGTTCGTCAGCCTAATTAATTAACTGGTGTTTGTGGCCCTTCCAGCATCCCTGCTACTGCTGCCTTCTCCCCTTCTAAAACTTTTCAGAATCTCCGTCTATAAGCAGACGCTGGGAATTTCCCCAATTTACTGAAGCTCAGAGTGACAGTTCGTATCTAACCACACATTTACATGGGGCAGAGAAAGCAGACCTTCCGTCCCCGGTTCCTTCCCGCAGTCACGTCTGTAAGGAATCAAAGCAGCGACCTGCCTGCCGCCTCCCGTTTCCACCCGGCTCAAAGCCAAGAACACAGGCCCAGGCAGAGGGACGCACGCGCACACGTAAGCCACATGTGCACCCACATCACCTCGTCCGTCCCGTGAGGTACTGGGGTGGGCTGAGGGACAGCGAGGCCCGCGAACGATCAGGAGGATGACCAGGCCGCTGCTGAAAGCTGGAGACACGTGCGGGATCTCGCAGGCAGGGCCCACGCTCGGACGGGCAGCGTGACGCGGCACCCGTGTCACCCACCGCCGGCTCCTCACCCGCCCTGAGACGGCTGGGGGCAGCCCACAGTGGGCGCCCAGGGGCTGCCGACTGGATCACTTTGCTGTTTTGGAGCGGCCTATACTCCCCTGTGCCTCTGACTTAACGAAGGCCAGAAAGGCAGGACGCCCAGTGGCGGGAGGGAAAGAGCACGCTCCGACTCTCGCACTGCCGAGATGGGGCCGCCGCGCCGAGGGCCCCTGTTGTACGAACCTCACCCTCTACTAGAGAGCAGCAACCTCAACCTCGTCTCACGCTTCACGCCATTCTGCCCCAGTTCTAGAAACCACGTTCCAGCTGCCCCCCAGAAAGAAGAAATCCTCGACCCTGTGTGGGAAGAGCGCACAGCGGCCTCAGCAGAGGGACGGGGGCGGCAGCCAGGACCTGCGGGGGGCGAGTGGCGCTGCGGGAACCAGAAACTGGGGATGGACGCTGCCTGGCAAGGGGCTGTAGTCCTGAGGCTGGGAGGGAGCAGGGCTCGCGATCAGGAGGGCCCCGGTACCCTGAAATGGGCTCCCGTGACCTAGGAACACTCTGGACCCGGCCCTTCGTGGCCCCTCCAGGCCGACGCAACTCGTCTTCGGCCTCTCTTTTCATTCAAAATCCGCAAAACGCGAGCCGGAGGGACTTCAGGGCGTACCCAACCCAAGCCGTCCTCTCCAGGATGCGGATGGCGAGGCCCAAGGTCACACGAAGCCCCTGGCTCTCCGGACCGCAGGCCGGGGCACTCCCCTCCGTCGCGTCCTGCGGGGTTCGGAGCGCCGCTCCCTTCCGGGTTCTCCCCGCCTGCGACCCCACCCTCACCTCCGCGGCCCGCAGAGCTCGGCGCCCGCCCCAGGCTCCGGGCCAGGGGCCTCCTCCACGTGCGCCCCCCGGCCGCCCGGCCGCCCCCCGGTCTCGGCCCCCGCCGGGCCCCGCGCCCACCCCGCTCGCCGCCCGGCCGCGCCCTCCCGCAACCCCCCGCACCCCGGCCCCGCCCGCCGCGGCCCCGCCCCCGCGGCGCCCACTTCCCCCGGCGGCCGCACGCACGCCCCGGCCCCTCACCGGTAAAGCCGCTTGGTGTGGAGGACCTTCGCCTCGGGCTCGCTGCTCTCCCCTGAGGGGGGGCCTTGGCTCATGGTGCCCGGGTCCGGGGCGGCTCCCGGTCACAGGCCCCCGCCGCCCGCCGCTACCGCCACCACTGCCGTGTCCGGCCGGAGCCGCAGCCGCCGCCGCCGCCGCCGCCGGCCCTGCTCGGCCGCCATCGCTGTGAGGCGGCTGCCCGCGACAGCTCCTCCTCCGCCCGCCAAATCTCGCGATAGCAGCCGCCCAGCGGCGGGCCCGCGGCCTGAACGCCGCCAAATCTCGCGAAGCTCGTTTGCTCTCCCGGGAAGTTGCCCGAACTAACTCTGGGCAGCGCGGCCTCCTTCCGGCTTCTGCAAGCCCCTGCGGAAAACTTTATTGACAAAGCCGCCGGCGAGCGGACGGCGGACCCTGCGAGGGGCTGGAGAGCTGGGCTGCGGGGCGGCAGATGGGCCCACAGCTAGGAGCGAGGCTCTGCTCTGTCCTGCAGAGCAGGCCCGTCCTCGGCCCGTCCTTCCGACCCTTCACCCCAACCCCCGCTGGAGCCGCGTCGCTTTCGGATCACTGCCGACTCCTCCCCTCCCCCACCACCCCACCCCCCGCGGTCTCTTGAACAAACCTAAGTGTACCTGAAAGTTCCCTTCAAAAGGCGGCACGCGAGCGGACGGCCCTCCGAGACGCCAGCCTTGACCGCGCCCGCGGCTCCCCGGCTCCCGTCGCACAGACCCACACCGCGCGTCTCTCAGCAGCCCCGCAAACAGTCACACCCCGCCACGCGATGCGGGGCGAGCGACCCAGACCCTGTCCCGCCCTCCCAGAGCTCCGACGGCTCGGGGGTGAGGCCCCACGGGAGCGAGCAGCCCCCACGGGAGTGAGCAGCCACGCGCCCTCTGCCTTGGAAGGTCACCTTGGATTCTGATTGCTTTCCTAACCTTGCACCCAGGCTACAAAGCAAGGTGTTTTGGGGTCTTTGTGAGTTATGATGGGAACATAACCTCCCTTCCCCCTCCGTCTCCTGCACCGACCTTTTTTCTGTTCCTGAAACCACCTAGGCTGGGCTTTCTCCTGCTGTCCCCTCCTTAGGACACTCCTTATTTCCCATGAGGTCACAGCTCAAATGTCATCTTGGCTAAGAGGTTTTTCTCTAATTGTCTGACAGGTTAGGCTCTTCATTACCTGAAACCCCAATACAACAAGCTTCTGGAGGGCAGGGACCTTGCCTGTCATCTTGTCTCCTATGTCTGTGCCTAGAATAGTGCCTGACTAGAAACAGGTGCTCCACAAATATTCATGGATAACGGTAGAAATTCCACTTCTTTTCTGGGTCTCCCAACCTACTCCAAGCACCCTTTCACGTACAGACCCACTCTTTACCCTCTGCTTTGCCGAGCTTCAGGCTCCCACACATCCCATGTGCCTGGACCTCACGCTCCCCTTTACACCCAGCTGCACCCCCACTTTCAGAAAGGATGACGACGTCCTCTGCCAATGCTTTTTCTGTCGGCAGATTCAGCAGGGCGGGTCCTGCCCCTTTAATCCGGGCCCCACCTGCTCTGGTCAGACAGGTTTGGAGACACAGGTATAGGGAGAGAGACTGAGAGGAACACTTGCACAGCCAGCAGGGAGCCGGGCAGCTCCTTCCCAGACATTGGGGACCCTCCGTCTCTCCAGATGGAAAGTAAGAGGGTATCATGGGTCTACATGGCTAGAGGCAGGTGGGGGGAAGGCAGGGAAGGCAGGCTTGAGGAGGTGGGGGGAAGGGACCCAGCCCCATCCAGCAGGAGTGAGATGGAGAAAACAGGGAGGGGAGAAAGGAGAGGAGGCATGGGGAACAGCCATGATTAGACCTAGAACTCAGAAGGGACAGCCCCAGGCCCTCTGGAGATGGAGGACAGAGGACAGGGGCTGGTGAAGAGAGTGGAGACTGCCCAGGTGCCCACGTTGGAGACAAAGGAGCAGGGCGCACGGCCGCTGCCAGATCCTTGGGACAGAGTTGTAGGCAGATCAGTGGTATCAGTTACCAGGAGAGTTCCAAGCAGGAATCGACAAGAAGAAGGGGAGGATTGAAGATGGAGGGACAGTGAGGCCCCTGTTGGGAAGGGAGCTCCTGGCAAAGCTCTAGAAACCCTTTCGTCCTCCTGTTTTTGCATGAGGGTGGCTATGACCCCAGGGGTTTTGGTGGAGGGAGTAGACGGTGTGGGTGGGAGCTGGCCGAGGCCATAGCTGCCAGCGCCTGCGCCCCCTGACTCACCCTCTCCTGCTGGGTAGCATTTGACGCGGAAAGGGTGTCTCCATTTCAGCTGCTCACTTCCCTCCCACCTCCTTCTTTTCAACACCTTTCTTGGCCCCATGTTCTCCCTAAGGTCCCAGAAGAGGCCAAAGCCCATGAGACCAGCTGCCCCAGACAGTTCTGATTCTATCAACCTGTCCTGAGGGCCAGAAACCAGGAACTTCTGACAGATCTTTCGTCTGCTCCCTCCAGGGTGGTAGGCCCTCATGGTAGACCCCAGGAGTGAGCCCCAGGATGACAGAACCCGAGACCCTGGCCCTGCTGGAAGTGAAGGGGTCTGAGGCCCCGGAGAAGAGCCCACCCCAGGCCTTGGTCCCCAATGGCCGGCAGCCAGAAGGGGAAGGTGAGGCCGAGACCCACGGAGCTGCGTCCTCCAAGGTGGGGTCCTCAGCTGGGTCTACCACGGCTGGAGAGGGACCTGAGGATGGTCTTGACAGCGCAGTGAGCGAGGCGGCCACCTTGCCCTGGGAGACCGGCCCCCCGCCCAGTGCCCTGTTCCCAGACCCCCCCGGGTGGCGGGACATGGAGCCGGAGCCCCTCCGGTCAGAGCCACCCCCCAAGCTGGAGGAGTTGTCCGAAGATGATGCCAACCTGGTGCCCGAGAAGGCGGCCCGGGCCTTCGTGCCCATTGACCTGCAGTGCATCGAGCGGCGGCCCCAGGGGGACCCGGCTGCGCGCTGTGAGGCCGGCGAGGGCGAGGGCCGCCGGGCCTGCCTGCCCACCCGGCCCACCCAGCCCGAGCCCTGTGAGCGCAAGTGGGCCGAGGCCGTGGTGAGGCCGCAGGGCCACACTTGCGGGGGCTGCGGGGGCTGCGGAGGCCGGGAGGGGCTGAGGGCGGTGGCCTCGGTGGGAGCCGCGCTCGTTCTCTTCCCCTGCCTGCTGTACGGGGCCTACGCCTTCCTGCCCTTCGACGCCCCGCGGCTGCCTACCATGAGCTCCCGCCTCATCTACACGCTGCGCTGCGGGGTCTTTGCCACCTTCCCCATCATACTGGGTGAGCTGGCCGGGGGTCGGGAGCTCCCCTTCCCCGGGTCCCCTGCGCCCAGCGCACACCAGGGTCCACGCCGCCCCCCACCCCGCGAGCCCTCCCCCGCTTCCAGCCCGCAGCTCACGGGCCGACCATGCGCGCTCTCCGATCCGCCAGGGCTGCTGGTGTACGGGCTGAGCCTGCTGTGCTTCTCGGCCCTGCGGCCGTTCGGGGAGCCACGGCGGGAGGTGGAGATCCACCGGCGCTACGTGGCCCAGTCGGTGCAGCTCTTCATCTTGTACTTCTTCAACCTGGCCGTGCTCTCCACCTACCTGCCCCAGGAGACCCTCAAACTGCTCCCCCTGCTCACCGGTCTCTTTGCCGTCTCCCGGTGAGCTGGCCGGGGGATGGGGCTGGGGGAGGGGGTGGTGCTGGAGGGACCCCGGCATTTTGTCTGGGGAGACGGGGGCAGGGAGCCCTCGGGATTCCGCATTAGCCCGGATGTGCCCCCTGCAACGTGAGTCCGCTTTCCGCCTGCACCTGACCTCACCTGGAGCAGGTGATCCGCCCTGTGTTCCCAAAGGAAGTTGTTTTAGAGAGCCAAGGACCAACCCAAAACTGGAAAGGCTGCCAGGTGTCACCTCCATCAACCTCCCACCCGCTGGCCTCTAGTTAGACACCCCCTGTGACCGATGCGCAGTTCCATGTCTGTGTAAAGGCCCCAGTTACTAGAGAGTCTTGTCTTTGTGTTACAAACTGCTGTCCTGACTTTGACTCTGGAATTGCCCAGGACCGTTCAGGTATTAGACACCAGCGCTCCATGTCCCCACTCCAGCACCCTGCCCCCCCGCCCACAGTTCCTTTGCCTCAGTGTCCTGTGACCTTCTCTCTGGCCAGAGAGCCTCCTGCTTGTCGGCGGTCACTGGCACTGGCCTCCTGCTCGTAAGCGTGGAGCCACGTTGGCTCTCGTTCCTCTGCTTTCGTCTGGAAGTCACCTGAAACCCTGTGGGGCGTTTCCACGTGAACTGCTGCTTACCCAGAAAGCACTTTTGAATTTCTGAAGGCACATGCAGATCTTTTCGTTTTTTTCCCTAATGTATTTCCTTTTGTTACTTTTTTTTTTTTAAAGCTTGTGTTTGTCAGAGAGAGAGAGAGAGAGAGAGAGATCATGCACACAAGCAGGAGGCGTGACAGGGAGGGGGAGAAGCAGATTCCCCCCTGAACAGGGAACCCAGTGTGGGACTCGATCCCAGGACACTGGGATCATGACTCAAGCCAAAGGCAGTTAACGACTGAGCCTCCCAGGCATCCCTCCTTTTGTTACTTTTCATGCAGGATTCCTGGTCCCTTTAAGTGCTAGAACATTCTTGCTCTTGAGCTAGCATCCGTGTGCCGTCCTTCTGACTGGGAGTCCAGTGGCCGTCTGTCCCACCAGCCTCCCGGCCGTCTTGCAGCCTGTTTTCTCCCAGATGTTCCCCCCCAGATGAACGTGTTCCTACTTGTGTCACTCACCCTCCCATGTCCCCGTGTCCATCCTGGGGAGCGCCGGCCTCAGACGGAAGCTGGCTTAAGCAGACATGGCGCTTGTCTGGCCCTTCTCACCCGGTTCACGGCGAGGGAAGCCCAGCAGGTCAGGGGACGCCCGCCAGCAGCCATGGGGCCTGGAACACAGCCCCTCCGTGTGTCCCCCCAGGGCCCTTCCTTCCCTACCACCTGCAAGGTGCTCAACACTCGTGCCTGGCTTCACCCTCTGCGGAGTGTGGGGCTTCAACAAGGGACTTCACGCAGAGAGCTTTCGGGAGTCTGGTGCTCAGGGAGGGCTCAGCCGCTGGAACCTAGTGTCCCGCTGCACCTGGCAGCCCGAGGCCGAGGCTCTTCTCCGTCCCATGGTGAGAGTGGAGGCACGGGCGTTTTGTGGCGAGCGGTCCTTCATGTGACAAGAGGCTGCTGTCCTCCTGGCACTAGGGGTGTGTATTTGGGATGGATCTTCCAAGAGCGGAGAGACCTATCCCTTTGGCTCCAGGCCTCTTGAAGCCGGCTTCCTTACTCTTTTCCCCTCTGTCCTCTAACATGGCAGGAGAGAGGGTGATGATCAGGCTTGGGTTCAAATCACAGTTTTACTATTTCCCTGATGTGCAACCTTGGACCAGTTCTACTTAATCCCTTTAGAGTCTTTGTTTCTTCATCTGCAAAATAAGAAACCAGTACAGTGGGGTACAGTCCGGCTGTGAGAGACGAGGAAGTGCGTGATGTATGGCTACAACCCTAATCAGGACAGGCAGTGGCGCGGACGGTCCGTACGGTGTGCTACCGAACTTCATAATGGGAAAAGGACATCCACCTTGTGCTTGCTCATCTGCACATAAAGCCTTGACCTCCAGGCCGTGGGGTTCCTGGATGTCTGAAGGCGGGTGGAGGGGAGGCGGGTGGCTGAGACCCGGGATCGGGACGGGGAACATTTCACCGTACTCGCTGGTGCCTTTGCATTTTGAACCGCAGAAAGGTATCCCACCTACGCTGAAGTTTTAGACTTAAATTTGGAAAGTCAGCAGAGAGGGAGGGAATGACGAGGGCCTCCTGGAGATGTGGGATGTCCACACTAGGGCCTACATCGTGTCGTGTCCGCCGCCCCCCATCAGCCCGCAAGCCAGCCAGCTGACGAGCTTCCTCTCCCTGCCGCCCCCAGGCTGATATACTGGCTGACCCTGGCCGTGGGCCGCTCCTTTCGAGGCTTTGGCTACGGCCTCACGTTCCTGCCGCTGCTGTCCATGCTGGTGTGGAACCTGTACTACATGTTCGTGGTGGAGCCCGAGCGCGTGCTCGCCATTGCCGAGAGCCGCCTGGACTACCCCGATCACGCCCGCTCGGCCTTGGACCTCAGGCCTCGTCCCTGGGGCTGAGGCCCCCACTCGGCTCCCCCCAGCCTCAGTGCCTCGGGGGACAAGCCCCAGGATTTCCCGTCTGTCCCCTGCTCTCCCCCCTTTCACCTTGGGAGCCCTCGGCTGTCGGGAGGGAATTCAGCTGATTTCTTGCAGGGGAAGAGGTGGACGGCCATGCCCCTTCTGCAGGCTGAGGGCTGGCACAGGGAGCATGGGCATCGTTCCCTCCTGAGCAACACCCCCCACCCCTGGCACTGCTTCCAGGACCCCCTGTGCTGGCCTCCGCCCCACGCTCCAGCGCCCGTGAGGCCGCGCAGGCAGAGCCTCCGCTGACTGACCATTTCTGTGCTACGGGCCACAGGGAGACGGGCAGTATTGCCCGTGCCCAAGGTAAAGCCTGGGCATTCGATCACACGGGACTTGCACGTTTGGCAGAAACCTTCCTGCGGGCCTGGGTTCAGGACCCTCCACCATGGGCCCCTGTAGGACTTTTAGCTTCGGTCAAGGTGATCGAAGCTGCCCCAGCCCAGAGCTGCCACCTGCTCCCTTCTGACCCAGTCAGGCCCCCAACCCCCCACCTCCAAACTGCAGAGGGGAGGGGAAGCCTCCGTCCGGAGAGGGGCAGGGGTGTGTGTGCGTGCGCCCACGCACATGGCGGCTGGGGTGCCTGCAGGGTGTGGTGGCCGATGTGGACCCTGTGTGAACATGTGCGTGACAATAAATGACCGCCATGGTCCTCCCTCACTATTCGTGCTTGAACCCCACTCTCAGGTGTCCCTCCCTGGTGTGAGCCAACTGGTCCAGAACCCCCTGCCCCACAGGACAGAGAGGGGCGTGCTGGAGGGAAGAGAGGGGACCGCACACGGCCTCCCTTGCCGACACCTCCCATGCCCACACCTCAGCCTTCGGTTCCTGGAACCAGCACCCTCTCCCCCGCACCCATGAAACCCGCACACTGACAGACGAGCCCTTGGGGGGAAAAAAGAGTCTATTTCATCCCTTCCAGAGTGGCCAGCCAGTCAGAAGGCCTCTCATTAGGCCCGAGTCCCATCCCGGGAAACAGGGCTCGAGGGGTGGGAAGGGATCGCCAAGGGACCCTCCCCACCTCTAGCAATCACCCTGTCGCTGGTCCCTCCCCGGAGGATGAAGGAAGCCACCCCTGGGGGTGGTCTCTGAGGTCCTGCAGGGAAGCCGGATGGAGAAGGGAGCAGCTGACCCTCCATTCGGCAGACCGGCGAGGCAGGCCCAGAAGTGCACATCCCCCGTCCCAGCGAGCGGGCCTCAGTTGACAGGCTGGTATTCGGAGCACTGCTTGTGGCCCAGCAGCAGAAACAGGCCTCCTGCCAGCAACATGAGCCCCGGGGCCCCCAGGGCCACCGCCATGATGCCCAAGATGAGCGGGGACAAGCTGTCCATCGGAGGAGTGCCCATGCCCAGAAGCATTGACCTAGGGCAAATAGAGTGGGAAAGACAGGCCAGCAGGTTAGGTGGGAAGACCGGGAGGCTGGGCTTCCCCACATCTACTCCCAGGGCCCCAGCCCTGCCCTGGCCCTCACCAGCTGAGGTAGCGTTCGTCCCAGTAGCCGGGGCCTGTGGAAGTCCCAAAGGTCAGATTGAAGGCACAGAAGTTGGTCTGGGACCCAAAGAAGGCTCGGACAATGGGGGACTGTGGGAGAGGGTACTCCGAGGTGGGGCGCAGTGGGGAGGCTTGGCAGGGCAGGGCCGAATCCCGGCCCCTCTGCCTCTGGGAGAAAGCCACTGGCCGCCACTGCATGAAGCCCGATGGGGGGGATCCCCACAGCAGCTGGTCCAACTGGGGAGAACGAAAAACAACAGGATGAGGACGACACCCTGTGCCGACCCTTCCGGGCCTCCAGCTGTCACTAGCTGGCCTGGGGCCTGGGCCCACCTCCAGGACCGAAGGCCACCTGCACAGAGCCTCCATCTCTCCTCCGTAGAAAGGGGAGCTGGATCGGGAGCACCGGGCGCCTCCCAGCCCTGCCCTCTGCAAGCCTGTGCTCAGCTCCCTCCCCAGCCCTCCGCAGGCCACACTCGTAGGCACAGTGACCAGCACCTAAAGCTGCTAAACTAGTTGCCGGTTGGTACGTGGTTACCGGCACCTCTGGCCCCGCGGGCTCCTCCTGCGGCCCCCACCCCGCTGGAGGCCTGACCTGGAAGACAGCAGGCGTGTACTCGTCATCGATGGAGCGCTGCTCTCGCACAGACGGGCAGTCGGGGCCCTGGCCCAGGGTGACTAGCTCCAGCCCAAACAGGGAATGCTCTCCCCGGGGAGCGGCCCCAACCAGGGACACCTCGAGCTGGCAGGTGTCCGCCGAATGCAGGAGGCGCGGGGCCTGGGCTGGCCGGCCGGAGCCAGGAAAGGCCTGCACCTGGAGTGGGGGAGGCACGGGAAGCGGGGGCCTGTGTCTGCAGGCCCTCCCCACCCTCACACACCAGCTTTCCGTGTTCCTCTGAGTCCCCACACCTTACCCTGAAGGCCAGGCTGCCGTTGGCAAAAGCCCTGGTGGGGTCACGAATGGGGTGGCCTCGAAACGTGGCAGTCAGGGTGGCAGGGTCCAGAGAGTCGGTGATGTTGTCCCAGGAGAACTCGGCCAGGGAATACGGGGGATGCGGTTTTCCGGGAGGCTTGGTGGACGCCTCCGATGTGTTGGTGTCGTCAAATTCAAACAGCTGGTGGGTGGGGTGACGAGGGAGGGGCTTGCTGCGTCCCGCTGTACCTGAACCAGCCCCACCCACTCGCAGACCCCCACCCCCGGGGTCCCATTTTTGACAGTCTTCAGTGCCCCCCCCCGGACCCCGATGAATTCTCTGCTCCTCCCCCTGGCTCTCCCCAGCCTCCTCACCCTGGTGAAGACAACGGCAGAAGAGAACCGGACGCTGTCCATGGGGAGCACGGTGAGTCCCCCGTCCGGCTCCGGGGACAGCAGGCGGCTCCAGTTGACGGCCAGGGTGCTGTGGGGGGTGTCGGTGGCCACCAGCAGGGCTGCCGGGGGCCCTGTGCTGCTCCACACGTAGTGCAGCGTAGAGTTGGCGCCCACCGCCCGGATGTGTAGCAGGTTCTGGGGGGGGGCCCTGCCAGTCCGGGATGACCTCCAGAGACACCTGGATCATGGGGTAGGGAAAAGGACACAGGTTGAAGCCGCTTGGGGGGATGGGGAGAGGTAAGGGGCGCAGAGGTGGACAGAGACCCGGATGCCCTGACCCTGGCGGGCAGATGAGGGCGCAGGGCTGGGGGGTGAGAAAAAGGCCCACCTGGGTCCCTCCGGGCCACCAGGGCAAGACAGGGAGCCCCTGCCCTCCGCAACCCGCTCCCGTGGGCCCCAGCGGCCCCCTGCGCCCCCTGCAGCCCGGGTGCCCTCCCGGGCCAGCGCCTGCTGAAGCGCCCAGGGCTCTAGCCCTTCACCTGGCGGGTCTCGCCCCGCAGCAGGCCGAGCAGGGCTGCAGACGCCAGCAGGCTCAGGAGGAGCGTGGGGCTGGGGGCACCGCGCCCCCAGCGCCAGCGGGGCCCCTCGCCGCTGCACATGGGACCCCAACTTCAGAGGGCGGAAGAGACCCCAGAATCATGTGACACGCACACTCAGCTGACCTCCGCGCAGGGCGGGGCCTCGCACAGTCCTTAAAGGGGCCGCCTCCCTTAACCCCGATCCAGGCTCAGGAGAGAAGGGGAGCCGGAAGGTCGGGAAGGTGGGTGGCTCGTCATCCCCAGCGGGGCCCCGAGCGAGACACCCGGACCTCGCCTACCTGACCGCCACGCTGGCTGCCTGTAAGGGGCCACGATGTCGGGATTCAAGATCCCAGGGGATCCCGATAACACTGTGCTGTGGGGAAGGTGGAGAGGAATTGGACAGAACTCTGGCGGAGACGGGGTGCCCCCATGGGTCTGTCCATGACTGTGGAGCCCGCGCATGCGCTTCCTGACCTACGGGAGCTCCGCCTTGTAAGACATTTCCAAACTAACCCTGTATTTGTCAAAAGGAGTTTATGTCTGGCTGAATAAACCCCCTTTCTGTTGTTTTCGTGTTTTTCCTTAAAATTATGTTGACTAATAAATGCACGTGACTCAGACTTCTTAAGGTAAGGGAGGGTGTCACTCTTCTTCCCTCCTGAGACCACCACCACTGTGGTGTTTGTGACTTGTCCTTCCCAAGGGGCACCAAGCAGGGGCACCCAGCAGGCTGCTGGGAGCGGGCGACTCTTGGTCTCAGGGTCGCGAGTTCGAGCCCCACGCCGGGCGCAGAGCCCACTGAAGAAAGCAGAACAAGACCCGAGCTGTTCTGTGCGTGCTGCGTGCCACACGTGTACACATACGTGTGATGCTATGAAACGGCGGCAAACCCGGGCCTGCCGTGTGCTCTCCCGCATGTGCCTGTCGCCTGCCCTCTGCTCCTGCGCATTCTCCACTCGCGTGTCTCACCGCGGGGGCCTGTCCCCCGGAAACGTCTACCCAGAGCCGAGGTGGTTTCCAGCAATGGGCTGCGGCAGGCTGTGGCATGAACACCCTATGCCGACAGCATTTCATACGCATCTGAGTCCAAATACCGGAGCTACGCGGCTGATCCCACGGACGGTGTGTGAGATTTCCCCCGGACAGGCCGTGTGGGAGGGCCTGACCCTCGCAGCCTCCACCCTCCTGCTTGTCCCGGCGAGGGAGGCCGGTCACTCCTCTGTAGTTACACCTTGGCCAGAGTGTAGGCCCCACCTTCCTGACCGCCAAGTGCTAGTTCTTTAAAGTTACCTTCTGTACTGGAACCAACATCACCGCGTCCCCCACCGCCTCCGCTCTCTTTTTCACAATGTCCATTATTCTCCCCCACGCTGATATATTCTAAAATGTCAGGTTTTCTTCTGGTTTCACTTTTTTATATTGAAAACTTTCAGCTGCCTGGAAGTAATTTTGGAAACCGGGAATGAAGTAGGGATCTAATTTTATTTTTCCCCCAAATGGCTCCTCTGGGATGAACTCGTTTTCTCAAAAAACTCATTTTTGAGGGCGCCTGGGTGGCTCAGTTGGTTAAGCAACTGCCTTTGGCTCAGATCATGATCCCAGAGTCCCGGGATCGAGTCCCGCATCGGGCTCCCAGCTCCACGGGGAGTCTGCCACTCCCTCTGACCTTCTCCCCTCTCACGCTCGCTCTCAAATGGATAAATAAAATCTAAAAACAAACAAAAAAACCACTCATTTTTGAGACAAGTGCTTGTATCGTCTGAGCTACCAAGACAGTAAAGTAGAAACTGGAGTCTTGACTGAGTAGTCAGGAACTCAAGCCTCCCCACCACTCAAAAATGCTGCTTTACAGGAGGAAAACGGGATGTGGCCGGTGCTAGGAGCCTGACAGCAGGGGGGCAGCACACCCAGTCGGGGAGGTGGCGAAGCTGCGGTCACGCCACAGGCCCACAGGGTGGTGACGGAGGCAGCCTGCGCTGCAGGGAGAGGCTGGGAACGCCGGAGGGGGGCTTGGGCAGGAGGAGCTCGCCCCCACGCCCGGCAGGGACAACTGCAGCCAGAATGGACGTCGGGGGAAATCGCAACGGGGAGCAAAGACCCACAGGGTCTTCGTGAGCACCACTTCAAGACCCGGTCGTCTACCTCGCCCCTAAGGTCCTAGAGCGCAGAAGGAAGGATGAATGAAACAGAGGCAGGGCCCTCAGCACAGGAGGTGGGGGCTTGTTCCAGAGCCCCAGGGCAGGAGGAGGAGCAAGGGCTTCAGACGGGGCTGAGCCAACGCTGGGCCCCGGATGCAAACAGACCAGGGGCCCCCTCGTGCCTCCTGCAGTGGGCACGGCCTGCTGAGAGCCAGACACGCTCGCCTACCATCTCCAGCTTCGTGGCCCTTGACACGACTTTATCTGTGCCAGTCGGATGCCCCACTGTGAAAGGGGGATGACTGATCGGAGTCCCCCTGGAGACGGGGAGTACACACGCGGACTGGAACGTGGTAGGCAGGAGGCACTGTGTGCTGTTCTTCTACCAAGCACTCAGCCCAACACGACTAAGGCCTGCGGCCGGGGAGGAGGTAAGGACTAACTGTATGAATCCTAAGGACAAAGGGGATGTGGAGGGCCCAGGAGCCAACACGAAGGACACAAGAAATCACAGGCTAGCCCCACCTGGCCTCCAGCATCCCTGGCCATTATTTTCTTCTCTTGATAAGAACAAAGCATGAAACACAATTAAGCCTTCCATGCCTGCCAGCAGAGAGGCAGAGGCCCTCCCGCGACTGGAGCGCGCCAGGACACGCCAGCAGGCCAGGGGACAGACAGCAGTCAGGAAGAAAAGCATTCCAGGCAAGACAGGAGGGGTTCTGAAAGTTAAAGGGAACAACAGAAAAACCCCAGGTTCACGCTCTTTAGGGCAAATGCCTGAGCCCAAGCGTGCACTGGGTGTTGCTGTCTACACAACCCCGCGGGAACACCCAGGGGCTGGACAGGTTCCTCTTGTTCTCTGGGTCCTGAACACAAGGCGGTGCTGCTTCCAGCTGGGAAGTCCGACCCTTTGAATTCCAAGAGTCTTCCCGACCAGCATCTATTGGGAAGTCTGAAAAACACCTTCAAGGAGGCAGATACCTCCCTCCTTCCCATCTCCCTTCCTCCCCAGCAAGGTCTTCTCCTCCTCCCTCTTTACCAGGAGGCAGAGATAGGACTCAAAATTGAAAAACACATAACCACTGTCTCAAATGACTTAGATTTAATCATCGGAAGCAAACTAAATTAAATGGAAAGCTTACAATAGAGAAGAATTACATGTCAGCGCCTTTTGCAAACTGAACTGGGACAGAAAAGGGGCTGGGCTGCCCCTCAACCCGATCCCTTCCAAGCAAAGACATCCACAGTGTCCCTGGCAGTCTGGCTGAGGGAAGAGGGAGCCTCCGCCGGCTCTGCGCATTGAGGTCTCGGTGCCTGCCACTCACTCCTGGCCGGCATCGGGAGCCCCGCCTTGCCGGCTCTGGTCATCCCCCTTCTTTTTGTGGCCCGAGACGATGTCATCAATCCGCAGCAGGAGAACTGCCGTCTAGGGAAAAACCACAGCCCCAAAGAGGTCAGCAGAGAATGGAAGAGAGCTTGTTTTCTTTAAAACCCAACACCTAGCTCCTCCCACGTAGTTAGCATTTGATCTGCCATCTACCCGGACCGAGCCTGGCACGGAAAACGCAGCTCTCCCTCAGGAAGGGCCACATCTTGTAGGGTCACCTTGCTTTCTGCATGAGCTAGAGGTGAGTACAGAAAAGGATACCCTGCGAGACCTTCCGAGAACACTCTGTCTTCTAAGCCCGCCCTTCAAGATCGAATCCAACACACTGGTTTCCAGGGACGTGCCCGCCCGCAGCCCAGCGGCACTCAGGGGCCTCACCTCCACTGCCGTCTTGTACGTCTGCAGCTTCACGGCCAACGGCTCCCAGATGCCCAGTTCCTTCATGTCCACCAAGGTGCCTGTCTCACCATTTACACCCCATGTCTCACAGTTCTCCTGGGTGTGCTTGGCCTGGAGTCGGAAGAAGCATCAACAGCTCAAGGGAAAACACCAGAAACAAGTGGGCCGGAACATCAGGTAATAAGGAAAAATAGTGACACGAGACAAGGTGACAGTGACTGCAAACACGTCGAGTGTTCGGAGAGAGGCAGAGGGGACACCTGAAGGCACAAGCTGTCAGGAGAGCCAGACACACAGATGTGAACCATCCCCCTAGGCCAAGCAGCTCTCCCCACCCCGTCAGGAGCAAAGCGTGGGAAGGAACTCACCCGAAGGGAGGTAAGCAGACGAATGGTGCTGGCCCCACAGTTCTGGATAAGGGTACGAGGGATGACTTCTAAGGCCTGGGCAACAGCCCTGTATGGCCACTGTTCCACACCGGTCATGGCCTTGGACTTTTCTGTCAAGGCGTGGGCCACGGCCATTTCCGAGGCCCCACCCCCCGGAACCAGCTGGGGGTCCAGGAGGACATTGCGGCAGACTTGCATGGCATCCTGGAGGTTGCGTTCCACTTCCTTGGGAAAGCAAATGGATGACATGAAGCCCAAGGCTGGGGACTCAGGGACACATGAGAGGCACTTGAGGGCTCCCTGACTGCCACGTCTGGTAAACCATCAAGGAGGGCAGCTGGAAAGGTCTCTAGAACCCTGTGGGGCAGAGCAGACGCCCTGCGCCTCCCAGAAGCACAGGGACTACAGGTGCGCGAGAGGGCAGGGCATGAAGTCAGGCCACACAGAGCAGCCTCCCCCCTCCCGGTTCCGTCCCATCCCAACAGCACTGTAGGAACTGCTAGTGCACCTTTGGGTAAGTTACCTAACCTGGGACAAAAGTGGTATTTGTAACGTCAGCTTAAGAAATAAGGAAGCAGTGGTTACCGGGGAAATGGTGAGTCACTGCTAAAGGATTATGTCTGGCAAGATGACAAGGTTCTGAAGATCTACGGCCCGAGAATGTAAATGTGTACGGAAGGAACTATACACTCAAAAATGGTCCAGATGGTAAATTTTATGTGGTTTTTTTGTAATTAAGAAATTTTTTTTTTTTTTAAAGATTTTATTTATTTATTTCACAGAGAGAGATCACAAGTAGGCAGAGAGGCAGGCAGAGAGAGAGAGAGGGGGAAGCAGGCTCCCCACTGAGCAGAGAGCCCGATGCGGGGCTCGATCCCAGGACCCTGAGATCATGACCCGAGCCGAAGGCAGAGGCTTAACCCACCAAGCCACCCAGGTGCCCCTAAGAAGTTTTTTAAAAATTACATACCCATGTAATCTCTGTACCTAAGGCGGAGCTCGAACTCATGACCTCCAGATCGAGCTGTGTGTTTACCCAGTGAGCCAACCAGGTGCCCCTAAAAAACTGTTTTTCAGGGCGCCTGGGCGGCTCCGTTGGATGAATGTCTGCCTTCGGCTCAGGTCATGATCCCAGGGTCCCGGGATCGAGTCCCGCATGGGGCTCCCTGCTCAGCAGGGGTGCCAGCTTCCCCCTCCCTCTGCCTGCTGCTCCCCCTCCTTGTGTTCTTTGTGTCAAATAAAATCTTTTTTTTTTTTTTTTTTTTTAAGATTTTATTTGACAGAGAGAGAAACACAGTGAGAGGGAACACAAGCAGGGGGAGGTGGACAGAGAGCAGCAGCTTCTCCCTGAGCAGGGAGCCCGATGTGGGGTTTGACCCCAGGACCCTGGATCGTGACCCAAGCTGAAGGCAGACATAAAACGACTAAGCCTACCCAGGTGCCCCAACTAAATAAGACCTTTTAAAAAATTATTATTCACTTAAAAAAGAAGATATTTGTGGCCACATATCAAAAATTAAATGGCTATAAATGGGCAACAGAAGGATTTTAGGTCTTGGGGGGCCCTCTCAAGAAATGTAACAACCCAGGGCACCTGGGTGGCTCAGTGGGTTAAAGCCTCTGACTTCGGCTCAGGTCATGATCTCAGGGTCCTGGGATCAAGCCCCGCGTCGGGCTCTCTGCTCAGCGGGGAACCTGCTTCACTTCCTCTCTCTGCCTGTCTCTCTGCCTACTTGTGATCTCTGTCAAATAAATGAATAAAATCTTTAAAAAGAAAAAAAAAGAAATGGCAAGACCCAGTTCAGGCGCGCACGCCCCCAAGGCAGACTCACGGAGAGCAGCTCCTTGCTGGCCCCGCGCAGGAGAATGGTACAGGCCTTGGGGTCCTTGCAGTCAGTGATGAATGTGAAGTACTCGTCTCCAATTTTCTTGATTTCCAACACGCCTGCTCCTGTCCCAACATCTTCTTCTCTCAGCTCTTCCGGCCGGCTGACTATCCGGGCCCCGCAGGCTCTGTTGATTAGATTGGGGGGGGGCATGTGACTTCGGGTGCTTTTACTCATCTTCCCAGCCCCTAAGGCCAGTGGCTGGGGGCAAGGCCCGAAGTGGATTGCTGGAAACACTGCTACGTAACGCGGGAGCTACTGGCTGCCCGGCGGTAAGATTCTCAAACACGTGTAGGTGACGTGTCCTTGCACGGACGGGGCTTATAAACTGCAAATACACCCGGAACAACGGGACAACCAGGTGCAGTTTAATCTGAGGATATTCTGTGGCTCCTCAGCACCGGACAAATGCGTTCTCGGGCGCATCTACTGTGTGTGCCACGTTATGGTCCTTTCCAGACGCGATGCATCCTGCACGGCCCGATGAGAGCTCCAGGCCAGTAACGGAGCTGCACTCAAGACAGCGCGAAGTCAAGAAGGGAGGAAAGTGAGTCCGTGAATGTACATCTGACTCCACTCCACGGAGCACAGAACTCACCTGCCCGTTTCCCCCCCCTCCCGGAACCACAGTCAGCCCTCTGTACCCGTGCACGCTCAGAGCCATTTCAGAGCCGGCGGAAGTGTAAAACTGGACGTGGATCTGATACTTGACACTGGGGTAGACTCAGCTTTTTAAAATAAAAATTAGTATCAGAAACGAATGGTATGTGAACACAGAATCTGCAAACAGCGAAGTCAGTCGTAAGCTGCATGAACAGCAGCTGAAGATCCAGTCAGGGAATCCGACGGCCGTGCTCTAGGCCGAGCTACCGCAGACAGGCCGTGACAGACCCTGAGGCAGGGACCGCAGACGTCTAAGCCTGGGCCGGTCACTACTGGCCAGCAGCAGGCAGCTGCTGGTCCGGAGCCTTTCTGGAGACAGCACACAGCTAAGCCCAGATTATGCCCATCGATACCCGATCTGGCTGTGTCCTACATTAAACCTTTTCAGGTAACAGGAACCACATTATAAGCTCCAAAAGGGAAACACACGGGAAGGAGGAATCTCGTCTTCACGTGGCCAACTCACCTGGCGATGCGGTTGTTGTCTGTCTTCCGGACTCTGCGGATGGCTGTGATGTTGGCCCGCATGAGGTAGTGCTGAGCTAAATCTGTAAACCCGAGAGCAGAGATGTCAAACTGGAAGCCGGAATCCTGGGTCCTGAACCGATGTCATCCCCAACGTACCCCCACACCATCGCATTTACATGCGGTCCATGCCAACTGGGGGGGGGGGCGGGGGGGGCAGCGACCCTCTTCTACTCACCAGGAGGGAAAGCGAATGGAGTCCTACCTGAGATGCCCTTCTCTGTGATGACCACATCAGGCTTCAGACGGATGATGTCCTCACAGAGCTGCTGGATGTACTCCTCCTCCATCTGCAGGATCCGCGTGAAGTCCTCCTCTCTTGTGATCTCGATGTCCGTCTGCGCGGTGGAGAAAGCCACGGACTTATAGGTCCGCGAGAGGCCTGCGGGCCGGGAGCCCACCCCTCAGGAGCCAGTTCAGCCCCAGCCCTGCAGCCGAGTGTCTTCACTTTTTTTCCTTTTTTTAATTAACACATCAAGCCTTATTGGTTTCAGGGGTGCGGTTCCGTGTTAATGCCCTCGTTTAATTACACATTAAGTGGAAGGCAAAGGCAAAAGCAATCAGGGGAGTTTGTGGCCTGAGGTCCTGGACCCTCCAGGCAATGTTCCCTCCGGTCGTCAGTGTGCATAGTATCTGGGTCTTAATTCTTCCCACCAACAAAATACACCTTCCTCCCAATGCCTGTGTTAACGAGCCTGTTACTTAGTTCTGACCACACGTAGTAAAGCCTGTTAACCTCCTCCCTCTGAAAATCCCCTGGCGTTCCCGAGCTGAGTCACCCCTGACCCGTGTTCTACTCGTGTCAGGAGAGGCGGCATGGCGGGATGGAACCGGAGCTGACAGAGCTGACTTCAAACCCTGACCTGGCCAGTACGGTTGTGTTCCTCAATTAATCTACCTTCTCTGAGCTTTGAATCCCTCAGCTGTGAACGGAAATCAGTACGAACACTGGGAAAGAATTCCCACGGGAAGCAGAAACTACGCACGCAGGTTGCGGATGCGGCAGGCACGGTAACAAACACGCCTTTACTTCCTGTCCCTATTCGCAGCCGGAGTCCTCCACCAGCTGCGAGGGAGCAGGCCAGGAGCCTCACCTGGCTTTCTCCCTTCTTGTACTCCAGAGAGGAATCCAGCAGCACGATGCGTGGGTTCTTGATGTAGCGCCGCATTCGGGGATGGGTCACGTCTTTGTTAATCATGACTCCCCGCAGGACACACGAGTCTTCGATGATGCCCCCTGGTATCTGAGCAAAAGACCCACTTTTCATCCACAACCAAGAACAGCCAGTTCTCAACTCCCTTCCCAGACACTCGGCTTTCCCGAATGAGCACTACTGCAGGTTTCTGACGTAGCTTTTTCCTGAACGTCAAAAACATAGTTGTAATCACACTTCTCCCTCCAGAAGGCACACCAATCACGGACCAGGACCCCGATCTGAAGGTCAGCGGAGACTCTGAGAAATTCAGTGACTCACAAAGATTCTCTCCTACTTCCGGGAAGATTCCCACAGATGTTTTGGGCTTGGGGCTCCACCTACAGGCCCACGGCTATTAATGCACTTTGGGTCCTTCAAGGAGCAGAGCTGGGGAGCGCTTTCTGGGGCCTGGGTCACAGCCTCACCAAGAGGCCCAGAAGCCCTCCTCCAGCCCCCGGAAGCCTTGTGCAGGAAGAGCACAGAAAGCAGCAGAACGATTCTGGGACCACCTCCTGGGTGCCTTCTTTCTCAAGCTGCAGTTTTCTGGCCAGCAAATGTTCTAACTCTAAAACCACGACCCTCGGTCATCCCAAGTGAGGCGACGCGCTCGGAAGCAGTGCGTCCTGCAAGCGCGGCGGATGAGCTCACCTTCTCCACCCGGGCGTATTTCTTGATGTCGATCTCCTTGCGACCGTTCTCCTCAAACTGCACTGTCCGCACGGCGTCGAGGGCAATGCCGCAGGCCAGCGAGGCCCACCGGCTGACGGCTTTGGTGGCCACGGAGCTGCTAATGACGTTGAGCATCACGTCTCGGTCACTGGTGTCCACGGGGGCACTGGAGGAAGAGGCAGGCAGTGCGCTCAGCAGACAGCTCGGACGGTCGAGGAAGTCCCCCGTCTACAGCCTGGGGACCGGGGGGCCCACGGGCAGAACTGTCCCTCCCCCGCCTTTCGACAAGACTGCAGCTAAGCCGGCCCCGGAAGCGACCTCAAACCCGAGCAATCTCTCCTCATGCCTGACGACCCTCCAGACTTAAGAGTTTACAGAAACATGATCTGTTCTTTACCTTCTGCTTCAACCGGATAAACTCAACTTTTGTAACCTGAGTCAAGACACATTTTGCCTCTGACACCTCATCCCACCGCTAGTAAATGCCAAGAGCTCGTCCCGGTAACCCCCGCGGCCTGCGCCACCGTCAAGCAGCTGACTCCGCACTGAACCACGCGGCGCGCTTGCGTTCAGCCTCTCTTGGCAGCGGCACACACCTGTATGTGCTGAGACTACCTGCAGCCATAAAACTGAAGTTCTACAAGACCTTGGACACCACCTAATCCAAATTTTCATTAACAGCGTAAGGCATATGATGTGCTATCATTACGTAGCTGTTGAATTATGGATTTTTCTTTTAAAGATTTTATTTTTTGACAGAGAGATCGCAAGCAGGCAGAGAGGCAGGCAGAGAGAGAGAAGCAGGCTCCCCGCCGAGCAGAGAGCCCAATGCGGGGCTCGATCCCAGCACCCTGGGATCATGACCTGAGCTGAAGGCAGAGGCTTTAACCCACTGAGCCACCCAGGTGCCCCTGGATTTTTTTTTTTTTTTTTAAATATTTATTTGAGACAGCATGGCCTGGGGGAGGGGCCAAGGGAGAGGCAGACTCTCTGCTGAGGAAGGAACCCGATGTAGGACTTGATCCCAGGACCCTGGGATCATAACCTGAGCTGAAGGAAGATGCTCTGCCGACTGAGCCCCCCAGGCGCCCCAAGAATTATGGATTTTAGAGAAGAAACAACAGCTCCACAACGGCTCCACAAGCGGCAAAGACATTCAGACAATTATTGTCTGATAAGAAGAACTATCAATTCAACTCCGCAAACTCAATAAATCCTTTGGTTATCTCTACATTCTTACAGCTTACTTCATAAAATAATTTTAGGCAAACACCACATTCCTTAAAAGTGCTAGACAGACTTTAACATACACTCTGTTTCTTAGCAGGCACTACAATACACAGCTCGCCAAGTTACTTGAGGCTTATGTACCAAACACCCAACCACGTCAGAGTAGATCATTATAGGTTTTACACAGAATTTTTAAACCAAAGACATTCTGCATTATGTCACGACCTAACATCCTCTGATTTAGAAGTCCTGCCTTTCCACACTCCTATCGTTACCCAATTAGTAAGCAGCAGACGAAGAGCAAGTTCTTCGATTCCGAGATGGGACTCGAACAGAAGTTTCAGTCCCACTCCTTCTGACTTTAATGGAAAACTGCCGGCTACCACTCTCCTCAGCATTTTACTAGAGAATTAACTGCGTGAGTCATAATCCTACGTGACGGTAGGACACTTTAGTATTAAATCCTGAATAATTAGTTATCCAACTCTTCAACTAATTCCCCCCACTGGCATCTAAGCTTTGAGAAGGTAGGTCTGTTTTGCTAAGCATTTTCCATGGCAGCCCCTAACAGGGGAACAAGCAAACCGCATGTAACCCGAAGACATTCGGGAGAACTGAACCCAACTCCCTTTGTCTGCTTTGTGTCTTCTGTCATTGTCCTTTGTCCTGCTGCTCTCCTCCTCGCTCTTCGTCGCATACAGGATGACAGTGTAAAGCCCTGGTGATGCGCCTTCCTTCACCGCCACAGAACACCTCCGTCTTCCAGGCCCCCACGGCTGACAGCAGGTCCCTGATCTCAATACCTGATCTTCTTAAGGGTGCTGATCATGTCGTCCAGGGCCTTGCGGTACGCACTGATCACCACCGTCGGGTGCATCTGCTGCTCCAGGAAGTGCTCGGCCACAGACAGCATCTCCCCCGCTGAAAAGAGACACACAAGCCACCGTGTTTTTTTTAAAGTACCAAGATTTCAAGGCAACTTCATGAGACTTCTAAAAATACCTTATTGTTTTCCCTAAAATAGATGGTCCTAAAACCTACGCCAATGGTCTGCTAATAAATTTTTTTGTAATCCAAATTTTACACTTTATACAAGGCAATCCATGAAGAAAATACCCTCACCAGACATGCTTTAAGTGATCAAAGACTGAACAGTTTATTCACTTGATCTTTCAAGATCAGCGTTTGTCACCAGTTTTCTAAGCAAAAGGAGACATTTTTCCCCCCCAAAGACTCTAGAAGGAAAAACACATAAAGGAAAACGGACTTGTTTATGATTATCTCAACACCTAGGAGACAGAGAAACTGTTTATACTAAAAACAAAAATACACATAAAAACTTGATACCTGGAAGCATAACCACAAAAATTTACAAAATTTACTCTCTGAGAGATTATTTGTGAAACATCCTCTTCCTAAAAAAATTTGCCTTTACTTTCTAACACACACAAATAGATACACAGATGCACATACACACACAAGCCTGTTTCTTAATAAAAGTTTGGAGAGACAAATGTACTTTTTGTAACAATTAAAAAAAAAAAGATCTTTTGTACAAATTGCTTGTACTACCTGTCCACTAACACTGATTGTTAAAATGTACACAAATGAGAAAAAAATGTACACAAATGTGTCAAGGTTCACAAGTGGACTCTTTGAGGGGCGCCTGGGGGGCTCAGTCCTTAAGCATCTGCCTGCGGCTCAGGTCATGATCCCAGGGTCCTGGGATCGAGCCCTGTATCCGGCTCCCTGCTCATCGGGAAGCCTGCTTCCCCCTCTCCTACTTCCCCTGCTTGTGTTCCCTCTCTCGCTGTGTCTCTGTCAACTAAATAAATAAAATCTTAAAAACAAAAACAAAAACAAATGTACTTTGGCTTGTGCTTGAATGTTTGAATTCAATGCCTTACACCAATTCCTAAGTGACCAAAATACCCGTTAAAATAATCAAGCAATTATTTTTTACAGACTTTATTCAGTTTAAGAGCACACACACACACGCATGTGCACATGTGGCAGGAGGGGCAGAAAGGGAGGAGAGGACAAGCAGACTCTGCACTGAGTGTGGAGCCTAACGCGGGGCTTGATCCCACGACCCTGAGCCATAACCAAAAGTCAGACACTTAACTGACTGAGCCCCCCAGATGCGTCCAGAAATACTCAAGCATTTTAAAATATGCTAGAATAAGTTCACTTAGAAAAGGGTATGGCCTGTTAGAGAACAGTGAGGATAACTTCGAAGAAGAATGACTCTAGGAACAGCAGGGTTTTCTTTATCAGAGCTGCCTAGACTCGCGGATACTTAACGCCCTAATCTCTCCGGAGATTTAACGAGGTTATTAGCGGGAAATTCTGCGCGGTGACTACTGCTCATCCGCAGCCACGAAACAGTGAGAAAGCATGTGAAGTCGGTCTTCCCTCTCGCATCCTCCGAATTTTCCTTCCCGCACAGAACTAGCCACACCTAATTTTCGCTCCTCAGAGAATTGGGTCTGAACAAATGCTTAGTGGGCACCTGGGTGGCTCTCCAGGTTAAGCATCCGACCCTGGGTTTCGACTCAGGTCATCTCAGGGCCAGAGGACAGAGGCCTGGGTCCGGCTCCGATCAGGAGAGGGTCTGCTGGAGCCCCGCCCCCTCCCTCTGCTCCCTCCCCAACCCCAGCTCACGCTCCCTCAAAAAATAACCAAGTGCTTAGTTGGTGGTGACGGCACTACATCTCCACCCAACTCTGTACTTCCTAAAAATAACTGAAAACATCACTTTAAAAGTTCATACAATAATTCTGTTATACGCACTCTACTTCCAGGCATGTGGGCCAACATTATAAACTGACATCTGTTTAAAAGAGTTCTCATTTCCTTAAAATGAAACAAGATGGGATCGGGAGGGAGACAAACCATAAGAGACTCTTAATCTCACAAAACAAACTGAGGGTTGCTGGGGGGAGGGGGATGGGGGGGAGGGGAATTGGGAGGGGGGGTGGGGTTATGGACTTTGGGGAGGGTGTGTGCTATGGTGAGTGCTGTGAAGTGTGTAAGCCTGACGATTCACAGACCTGTACCCCTGGGACTAATAATACGTTATATGTTAATTTAAAAAAGAAAAAAAGAGTTCTCATTTCCTCAACAATGTATTACTGAAATCAGATTTTTAAAAATGCCTTGATTATAAACATTTCCCCATCGAATTAAAACACACAGAGAAATAAAAGCAACGTCAAATTTTCAGAAGTGATCCTTTATGATCCTTCAGAAAATGGAAAGATCAGTTATTAAAATATGTATGGTCAAGACTCATTGTCAACATTCATCAACCTCACAACTGGCTAAAATGTCATTTGTAGGGGCGCCCGGATGGCTCAGTTGCTAAGCATCTGCCTTTGGCTCAGGTCATGATCCCAGGGTCCTGGGATCGAGCCCCGCATCAGGCTCCTTGCTCAGCGGGAAGCCTGCTTCTCCCTCTCCCACTCCTCCTGCTTGTGTTTCCTCTCTCACTGTCTCTGCCAAATAAATAAATACAATATATATATATATTTTTAAAGATTTTATTTATTTATTTGACAGACAGAGATCACAAGCAGGCAGAGAGGCAGGCAGACAGAGAGGGGGAAGCAGGCTCCCCACAGAGCAGAGAGCCAGATGCGGGGCTCGATCCCAGGACCCTGGGATCATGACCTGAGCCGAAGGCAGAGGCTTTAACCCACTGAGCCACCCAGGCACCCCAATAAATACAATATTTTAAATAAATAAATACAATGTTACTTTTGAGCCCCAAATCAGGGGCATTTTCATGGTCACTCACACACACACGCTGAGATGAACACTGGAGGCACGCAATGCGATGCCCTGCCCTGCTTCAGCTCCCAAACTTTACGCGGTACAGGTTCACATTTTTTTTTTTTAAGAGTTTATTTATTTATTTGACAGACAAAGATCACAAGTAGGCAGAGAGGCAGGCAGAGAGAGAGAGGAGGAAGCAGGCTCCCTGCTGAGCAGAGAGCCCGATGCGGGACTCGATCCCAGGACCCCGAGATCATGACCTGAGCCGAAGGCAGCGGCTTAACCCACTGAGCCACCCAGGCGCCCACAGGTTCACATTTTTGTGCATTTTGGTGACTTCACTGTTCCAACTGGCCCAAGCGTAGCACTACAGTCCAGCCCAGCCTTCCTAAGTGCAAGAAAAGCGTGACATTACAAAAGCCTCGTTCAGGCGTGGGTTACGTGCTACTGGCTGTGAGTTCAATGAATCAGCAACAGGTATTACATAATGTGTCCTTATTTTTATTTAAAAATTTATTTATTGTGGAGTGCCTGGGTGGCTCAGTCATTTGAGCATCTGCTTTCGGCTTGGGTCATGATCCCTGGGTCCCGGGATCGAGTCATGCGTTTTGTTTTGTTTTTTAAAGATTTTATTTATTTATTTGACCGAGATAGAGATCACAAGCAGGCAGAGAGGCAGGCAGAGAGAGACGGGGGGGGGGGGGGGGGGCGCCCCGCTGAGCAGAGAGCCCGAGGCGGGGCTCAATCCCAGGACCTTGAGATCATGACCTGAGCCGAAGGCAGAGGCTTAACCCACTGACCACCCAGGCACCCCGGGCTCCCTGTTTGGTGGGAACTCGGCTTCTCCCTCTATCCTTCCCCCCACTCATGATCCCTTGCTCTCTCAAATAAATAAAACCTTTAAAAAATAAATAAAAATGTATTTATTTGAGAAACAGAGAGACCACGTGTGCATGCCCCTGCGCAAACAGGGGGAGGAGGAGGAGAGAGAAACTCTCAAGCAGACTCTGCTCAGCACGGAGCGTGACGCCAGGTTTGACCTCAGGACCCATGAGATCATGACCTAAGCTGAAACCAAGAGTCTGACGCTTAACTGATTGAGCCACACAGGAGCCCCCATAGAGTGTCTTTAAAAAAAAAAAAAAAACCAAGGGGCACCTGGGTGGCTCACTGGGTTAAGCCTCTGCCTTCGGCTCAGGTCACGATCTCAGGGTCCCGGGATCAAGCCCCGCATTGGGCTCTCTGCTCGGCAGGGAACCTGCAACGCACCATCCCCCACCCCCCGCCCCGCCTGCCTCTCTACCTGCTTGTGACCTCTTTCTCTCTGCAAAGTAAATAAAAAAAAACTTAAAAAAAAAAAAAGAAAAAAAAAAAAACAGAAACAAAACAAAAAATAAACTGAGGGGTGCTGGCTAGCTCACTTGGAAAAGCGTCGACTCTTGATCTTACGGTTATGAGTTCAAACCCCATGCTGGGAGTAGAGATTATTTATTTGGTTGGTTGTTTATTCTATTTATAATTCTATTTATCTGTCAGAGAGAGAGAGAGCACTGGCTGACGCGGGAGCACAGGCAGGGGGAGCAGCAGGTAGAGGGAGAAGCAGGCTCCCCTTTGAGCAAGGAGCCTAATGCAGGACTTGATCCCAAGACCCTGAGATCATGATCCTAGACAAAGGCAAACGCTTAACCAACTGAGCCACCCCAGTGAACTGGGAGATTACTTTGAAAAATAAGTAGGGGAGGCCGGGCGGCTCAGTCAGTTAACCACCTGCTTTTGGCTCAGGTCCTAATCCCAAGGTCCTAGGATTGCGGGATTAGCAGGCTTCCTGCTCAGCGGGGAGGCTGTTCTACCTCTCCTCCCTGCTCGTGCTCTCGATCACTCTCTCTCTCCCAAATAAACAAAACCTTTCTAAAAAATTAAAAAGAAATAGAAATAAATAAAACAAACCAAAAAACCCACCTCACATTAAATGAGGTATAAGGGCACCTGATTCTTGGTTTCAGCTGTCATGATCTCATAGTCGTGGGATCGAGCACCCTATCAGGCTCCAGGCTCCCATCTCTGCGGGAACTCTGCTTGGGTTTCTCTCCCTCTGCCCTCACCCTCTCCCCTGCTCCACACCCCACCAAACAAATACAATAAGGTGTGTATGTATTACAGAGTGTGTGAAGAGGCTCAAAGGAGCCTGACACGTAACTACTCCAGGACAGACGGTTCAGTGTCTGCTAACTCAGCGTCTGTGGTGACTTTCTAGAATGCAACTTACCGTGAATGACAAGAACCCACTGTATTTTGTTCAACTAGGTTTTTAGTTCATCCTACACTGTGATGAATGTTTTATGCTCACTTGGAGAAAATACACAAAAAATTACCAATAAATTATTTAAATATTTGTAATTAGCAGACTGGTAATAATTTCCTTCTTAAAACAGGACACAGATGTTATTTCCGATAAAAATCTTCATGTTTTGATCACCTGGGTGGCTCAGTAAGTAAAGTGTCTACCCTCAGCTCAGGTCATGGGGATCAAGTCCTACGTGGGCCCCTTCTCCCTGTACCCCTCCCCACTGCTTGTGATCTCTTTGCCTCTCTCTCAGATAAACATATATATCTTAAAAGATTTACTTATTTACCTGACAGAGAGAGGGAGGGAGGGAGAGAGAGAGCACGCATGCATGAGCAAGAGTGAAAGAGAAGCAGGCCCCCCGCTGAGCAGGGAGCCCGATGTCGGGTTCGATCGCTGGACCCCAAGATCATGTTTAATGACTGAGCTACCCAGGCAGGTGCTCCAAATAAATAAAATCTTAAAAAAAAAAAAAAAAAAAAAAAAAGGAAAAAACTTTATGTTTCAATCGAGCTTCCCTTATCAGCACTGCTGTCCTCCTCTTACCGAGAATAATTACTGATGTGGTCCCGTCTCCAACCTCTTCATCCTGCGTCCGGCTAATTTCAATCATGGATTTGGCTGCTGGATGCTGGACTTGGATCTGAGAAGGAAAACGCAGATTGCCACGGAATCAGCACTACTGAGAGACCTCGGAACCCACTCTACTGGGTCCTGACTCTTGAGCTGTTATATTCTCTCCCTTACCCAGTACCATTTTACCACAGCTTAAATGATTTTAAGGGGTCTCCAAAATATCTAAGTGAATCCTCTCTCCAAGTCCCCCTCATTTTAGGGAAAAATGCGTCCCAAGTCAACTACTCAAGTTTCTCAAAGACAGAAGAGCCTCTTTCATAGCTTACTTCCCAGGAGCCCCACTGTTGCGGCTGAACTGTGTTTTCCAAAATGACAGCTGAAGTCCTACCCTCTGGAAACTGTGAATGGGAATGTTACTGAAACACGGTCTTTGCAGTTGTAATCAAGATCTACAAATTAGATCATGCATGATATTACGATAGACCCTATATCCAACCATTGTTGTCCTTATAACAGAGCCACAACCGGAGAATGGCCTATAACAACTGAGGAGACAGAGGGTGCCTGGATGGCTCAGTGGGTTAAGACTCTGCCTTCCGCTCAGGTCATGATCTCAGGGCCCTGGGATGGAGCCCCACACGTCAGGCTTTCCGCTCAGCGGGGAGCCCGCTTCTCCCTCTCCCTCTGCCCCTCCACCGGTTTGTGCCTGCTGTCAAATAAATAAAAATCTTAAAAGAAAAGAAAAAGGAGACTGAGTCCACAGGCCAAGGAATGTCACAGACTGCAGTCAACCATCAGATGCTGGTAGCACCAAAGACAGATCCTTTTCTCGAGCTTTCGGAAGGAGGAGGGCCCTGCTGACACCTTGATTTTGCACTTCTAGCCTCCACTCTATGAGAAAATAAATTTCTGTTTAAAGCCACAGCAGTCCTAAGAAACTAACCATCATGTATACATAATTTTACGGACCCTTTATAAAATTGTTAGAAAGCAAAACGTTCCAACTTTAGTATGTGTGCTGCTGAAGCGGACACTGGAAAGCGAAACGAAAAGTCACACCTCTCGAAGAATGGCGTTGCCGTCATTGGTCATCACAATGCCTCCCATTGGGTCCAAAAGCATCTAGGACAAAAGTAAGTCATACCTAAGTTACACCTGTTCCAGGTAACAGACAGGAAAAATCTGAAGTCAGAAGGTTCAGGAAGGGACAGGCCTACCTTCATCATGGACTTGGGTCCCAAGCATGTGCGGATGATATCTGCGATGGTCTATCAGAAAGAAAATGACAGACACGTACCACCGGTCAGAAGGCCCGTGAGTGTGTGTGTTAGAAGGCACGTTCGGTACAGGACGTCACACGCCCAGGGGCTGCGATTTCTCCCCCGGGAGCGATTTCAGGGTGGACGCAGAAAGAATTTTTCACAGGAAAAGGGGACGTGGCTTCCGGAGCTTCAGGTTCCTGTAACTCAGGTAACTGCGGGTCCACGTGTTAGCATTTCTTCCCACGACAGGGGCCTCCACACCCCGCTAAATCAGCTCCGGGACGGTGTCACTCTTTCGTCCAGAAGCATGTGCTGAGTACCCCGCCAGGATCTACAGTGGGCACTAGGAATGCTAACGGGAAGACAGTCCTTCCCCTCAAGTAACTCGTGGGGAATGGCAGACAGACACAAGGAGGTTACAAAACAATATACATTAACAGAATTATGCCCAGCTATTAGGCCTAACTCATTGTGGGAGGGTATCCTTCTACCTACCACCATAAGAGAAACGGCCTGAAAGGGCATTTTCTTCTGCCTAATTGCAAATGAATACAAAAGTACCAGGGAAGGCAGCTGGAGGCAAACTAATCAACTTTAAACTACTTAAAAGACACACTACCTTAGCGGCATTGATGTTTCCAGATTGAACTTTTCTTCCAGATTCACGCTTTGTGTTCTGGCCTAAAACAGATAAAATAAACAAAAACAGACCAGGATTCACCCACGGTATAGAAACTCTCATTCCCTGACCTTCGAAAATAAAACACACACAGGTTTTACAATGTCACAAAGATCAACCGTCATCGAACCGTACCCTTCAAATACGTGCAAGTTACTGTGTCGACGTACCTTTAAAAACTGTTAAAAAAGTAAGTATACGTACTTGTGGCTACTTCTTTATGTCAAGCCCTGGCGTACAACCAATCCCTAACACCTCAACATTGGAACCCTGGTCATCGCCTTCCCATGAGCCAGACATTCACGTATTTACAGCAGATTCATAACCTGAGGTCCACGAATGGGCCCTAGTGGAATGGTGAACTCCTGGGTATTAGCAGAAAATGGGGAGATGTTGTGTTCTTGTCTGGGAAGGGGCTCTAGAGCGATCAGATTCTCAAACGACCGGTGACCTAAAAAAAGCATCAATCACTGCTTTATGTAAAAAAGGAAAGAGTTTGGGGGTTCCCATCTTCCTACTTGGGCAGAGGGAATCACACTGGCAGTCCCAGCGTAATCACTGACGTGGCCCCACGGTGTGCTGTGCAGTGAGAATATGCTCTGAGAGGGGCTCGGTTACAAGACACACTCGCTCCACACCTGGATATAATAGGAATGTCTCAGGGACCCCTACCGTCAGCCAGAGCTAAGCACCTATCCTGACGGGGCCTACTCGGTTCTAGCCAGTAGTGCCGGGGATAAACGCAGGCCTGAAAAAGGCTTCACCATGCACCACTCACCCCTGGGCCCTCCCAATGGAGACAAGCCCATGGCTCCAACCAAACCAACATAATGCTGATCTCCCTCCTCTCTCAAGTTACACACTCTCTACAAGGTAAATGGGTAAAATTTTCACCCAGTCCCATCAAATCTACACGCTCAGAACCCTCAGAATTTGGATTCCCGTTTCAGGCCGGGGTGACTAAAACCCTGCCTGGACTGTCTGGCCGACTCATCAGAAGGAACGTGGCTTTGCCCCAATTAGGTGAATCTTTTTTTTCTGAAAACAGTTATTTCCTAGGTACACGGAAAACGGAGAAAATCGAGTTATTGCATTTTGTATACCGAAAACCGTAAGGGAGGGACAAGAGCTTGTAGCTGGGGTACAGAAGTTACCCGAAAAATGGGAACGGCCCAAGGGAAGACAATGGAGGTGGCCCTCCTCAGAGAGGAATTCAGGAAAACTCCGCAGGAAGATCGCAGCGCAGAGGACGCCGCGGGACGAATTACACCCAAGCCGGACCCCCGCAGCGCGTCGCTGGAGGGTGACCCCGGGGGGCTGTCACTGAAACTGACCGCGGGTACCACTGGCTGTGCGCAGACCCCCTTTTCGGCAGCTCACTCCCGTCACCTAATCCCCCCATCCCACGAGGACAGGCTGCTAAGCCCCCAGTAAGGACCGCACGCTCGAGCCAGGCGATCCGGCGGGGCCCCGCGGCCACGGACCCACCGGCCACCGCGCCGAGGCCAGGCCAGGCCAGATCCCACTCCCCAGCCCCGCACCGAAAACCACGCGAGCAGGGGTGCGGCGGCGCGGAGAGCGCGAGTGCCCGCAGCCCGGCGGCTCGGCCAGGAGCAGGGAGACAAGGGACCCGGCTCGGGGCACTCGGGGAAGCGGCAGAGGAGGCTTCCGAGGCGCACGGCGACGGGAAGGCTGCGCGACCGGACCCGGGCGGGACCGGGCTGGGGCCCCACGGCGAAGTGCGGAGGGAAGGGGCGGAAAGGGGGTCCCTGCCCCGGCTTCCCCCCAACTCACTGAGCACGAGCACCGGACGATGGCCCATCATGGCGGCGCGATGCAGAGCCCGGTACCCAGAGCTGGGGCAACCGGCAGAACCTTCTGGAGAGAGAGAAGCAGAGAGAAGCCCAGAAAACGCTGCCTCCTCAAGGCTCACACCTTAACCCGCTACCCTCCGGGTCGCTGCCAATCACCGCAGCCAGCTCATTGACCGGCACGAAGACCGGCCAATCGGCTTCCTTAGCCCCGCCCTCGACGCCAGAACGGCCCGGCAAGCTAGATGGAGAGCGCGCGGTGAAGGCACGGGGAGGGCGCGGGCGCTTGCGCAGTAGGGTGGCCGCTCCCGGCCGCGTGCGGCGCGCAGGTCGGCGCAAGCGCGGAGGCCGGGGCGGTTGGCCGGCGCGCCACCGCGCATGTGTGTCAACTACGAGGGTGGGTGCCGGGCCGGAGTAACAGCGCAGGTGAGGTGCCCGAGCCGGCCGGCGTGCGGGGTGCGCTGGGGCTGCGGGGGGCCCTTTCCAGCCTTAGCTGCGGGAGGAGCCGCGGCACGGGCCGCCTCGGGAGCTGGGTCTCTGGGGCCGGCTGGGTGGCAGAGCCCTTCTCGGGGCGCGCGGCGAGTTCCCGCGCGCGCCCCCCGCACTCCTTCCGCAGGTGCTTCCCGCAGACGCCCGCCTGCTGTTCGGCCCGGAGCGCGCCCCCGGGGCTCCCGTCCCGGCTCCCCAGCGCCCTCCTCCTGCGTCCCAGTCCCGGCCCACGGAGATGGTGGGGAGGCGGGGGCTCGCAGGGCAGGAAGGGGGCTGCTGCTGCGGAACGGAGCCGTGGTGGAAGCCCCGCTCGCGGGAGGCTCTTCGTGAAGGTCTGGGCGTAGTCCACGACCGCTCTGTGCTGAAGAGCGGGAGCAACGGTAACAGACCTGCTTGCGAGCTAGCGCAGCACCGTGAGGGCGCCGGCGACTCCGCGGCCGCGCACCTTTGGCCGTGACATAGAACAGGACCTGCTTTCCCGCGCGCGCCTCCCGAGATGCGCCGGAGAGAGCCCGAACTGTCGCTAGTAGTGACAGCGCGGGTTGTCGGGCCTGTAACGCTGTGATTCTTCCCCAGGCACCACACCTGCTGGTGTCCCGATGGAGCAGCGTGCTGGCCATCCCAGCGGAGAAGGTGTGTGTCCGAGGCCCTGCACCCCCCCACACACACACCAAAGCCAGGCCTCCTTAATTGCTCAGAATTTGGGAAAGTGATTCTAGTTGTATGTATTTTTTTTTTTCCCTGTTCTCTCTGTTAAGTGGAACGTATTTGTAGGTGTTCTACGGTTTCCCATCAAATGGAAACGTTGCTGGGGCGCCTTGCAGGCTCCCTCAGCAGAGCTTGTGACTCTTGAGCTCAGGGTCACGAGTTTGAGTTCCATTCTGGGCGTAGACCTTCCTTTATAAATAAATAAATAAATAAATGGGAACATTGCTGTATTCCCAGTGCCTAGAACTGGATCTGTTACATGATAGTTGCTCGAGGACACGTTGAGGGAATACATTGTTCTTCCTTTGTTTTCCCTCTTACTGCTTAGAACAGGATTTCATGTGCAGGGATTCCAGGAGACCTAGTGTTGGGAAGAGTAAACAGATACTCCGTTGGAGAGGGGGGTGGCGCAGTCCCACGCAGCGGACTGGGAGGTGCCTGGAGCAGCCGACCGCAGAGCCAGCCACTTAACCGTGGGTGGAGTAGATGACTCCCACCGGAGGGGCCGGCTGTGTCACAGCTTAGACAGAACAGACTGTCTTCACAGTTGTCGGGGCTGGTAAAGAGCATGACCATGGAGCCCCCAGGCCTGGACTTAACCCCAGCACTGCCACGTGGCTAGTTGTGGAATCCTAAGCAAATTTCCTAACTTAAGTTTTTTCAGATAAAATGTGAAGAAAGCTACCTACTTCTTAAGGTCATCGTGAAAAATAGATAATGTCCATAAAGCACCTGTTCCCTTTATTTCTGTGTTCTGCTTCCCGATGCTGCTTCCCAGCCTCCTTCCCCTTTGTATTGTCGGAGGTGTGGTTCCTTCACGTGCGTTGTGTGTCAGTATTCCTCCCACCTTCACACCTTCCAACCTGGTGGAAAATATATCCTCCTAAACCTAGGAAGGGACTGAATTGTGGAGAAGTGCATTTGCATGGAAGTTAAAGTTAGATTTTTTTCCAATGGTGACAATAATCTCGAGACCCCCAGTTTCAGCTTCTGTCTTCGTACCATCCTGCAGGAGCCTTCAAATGACAGATGAGACGTGGGGAAAAGGAGATGGGGGGCCTACAGCAGGGCTTGGAAGATGCATAAACGCAGCCTAAAAAATCCCCAAAGACGAATTTCCTTCACCTTCACCAGGAGTAGTAGGGGATAAAACAGATTTGCATTTTCATATGCCTTTTTTAATTTAATTTTATTTTATTTGACAGAGAACACAAGTAGGCAGAGAAGCAGGCAGACAGAGGAAGGGAGCAGAGAGCCTGATGGGGGGCTCATCCCAGGACCCTGGGATCATGACCTGAGCCGAAGGCAGAGGCTTTAACCCACTGAGCCACCCAGGTGCCCCAACAGATTTACATTTTCATAGGCCCAGTGAGTCTCCAAGTAGAGAGGACCTCAGCCTGGCACCCGGCTATGAGGACTCTCTGCCCCCTGCCCGGGGGGGGGGGGGGTCCCTTCCTCTGTTGTACTTGGAGTTAAGGACAAGAACATGACGTCTTCCTTCATTCAACCTACCTGTCACACCTCTGCCCCAGGCTTGTTTCTTCTGAAGACAGCCGTCCTTAATCTTCATCCCCAGATCCCGGCTGAGACAGGATCGCTTTGGGGAACACAGTCCCTGGCTGCCCAGATGGGTTCTAGGTTAGGTGCTCTCTCACACTTCCCGGTGGAATGACACACATGCTCAGTCGCTTAGTGGCTGTCTACACCGCCAGGCTGTCAGCTCCCTGAGAGGCGCAACCGCGTGGGTCTGCTTGCTGTGGCATCGTCAGTGGTGGACGCTCACGGGCATCGAGCTGTCTCCTAGGTGTGTAAGTGAGCCGGCGGAGTCCGTCTTTCTGTCCCCCTTGATCTCGGCCTGGCAGTGACTCGCAGTCTCCCTCGGAGACTCAGCCGCTTTGCCTCTCTCCATCCGCCGCCTCTCTCTACGCTTGGCCGCTTCCTTCTCATCTTCAAACTCCCGAGGAAGAGCTCCCCAAGGCCCCATTTTTGCTCTCCCATTTTTTCACTCCAGAGAGCTGATGTACTTTTGCACCTTCTTTATCCCTTTTTGGGGCTGGCCTGGCAGTTTGACCTTTCCCCTGAGCTCAGTGCTACCTCTGGCTGTTTTTCTAGGCATTTCTACTTGGACTGTCTGGTCTCCACTCATTCACTATGTCCAAAATGTGAGTTACGTTAATCTGATGGGACCCAACCCAGACTTCCTTGGGTAAACAAGGAAATTCAGAGGCTTGTGCAGTTGGGAGGGAGGCTGAGATGGTCGCAGGACAGGAGGAAGGCCCTGCAGGAGTGGGGGCCTTCGGGACTGCACCGAGGGACATGGTGCCCGCAGCCAGCTGTCCGTCCGTCTCTCTCCTGCGCTCTTGTCCATGCTCTCTTGCTTGTGTCTGCTCCTTGTGCTGTGCTGGAAACTCAGTAGCTTTCCTCTGTCCAACTTCACGTTTTCCCACATAGCAGACCCCAAGAAAGCAAGCTGCCTGGACAGCAGGATCCGTATGTGCACTACCCCCCCGGCCCCTCGTGCTTACGCTTGGATCAGCCACGTGGCCAAGGAGAATGAGATACCGTGGTTGGCCTGTGTTGGGTCCCAGGCCCGTTCCTCCTGGGGAGCCAGGCCTGGTGCGGTCCCAACCAGAATGGCCTGGAATCTGAGAAGAGTCGTTTTTCCAGAGGAAGTGTTGCTCACTAAACAAAATTGACCCATGTCTTCTGTGGGACCCATGACCTTCTCCCTACAAATGCACTTTTCCTTCTAACTTAATTATTTGTGCTAAAGATTATGTATTTCCCCGTTCAAGAACTTCTTTCACATCCAGCCTCTTTTAATTCCTGTAAATTAATAAAATAGAGTTTTTATCACATTTTCTGATCCTAAAAGGCTCAGTGGCTTTCCACCGGATTCAGGAGAAAGCCTGAAGTCTCAGACTTACTGTTGTGAAGGGCCCCCCACGGCTCACCTGCTCTCCCGAGCCTCTTTCCTCCCCACTTGAGGTATCTTTTCCGGTAGATACCCTCTCCTGGCCTGGGGTCTTCCCTGACTCCCAGACTTGTCTTGAGCTCTTGTTCCTTTCCGGAAGCATCCATTTCTGCGTCCAGTCACATACTTAGGATAACTATGAGATACAAGGCCTCGTTTTCGGGGCACCTGAGTGGCGTAGTCGGCTGAGGGTCTGACTTGATGTAGGATCGGCTCGTGATCTCCGGGTCGTGAGATCGAGCCTGCACCTGGCTCCATGCTCAGTGCAGAGTCTGCTTGAGATTTTCTCTCTCAAATAAATAAATAAATCTTAGAGATAATAATAACAATAATAGCAACAAAGGTCTCATTTTCACCCAGATTGTCAGAAGCGCATTATTTAGGTCCTTGGGTGGTTATTTTTTTTTTAAAGATTTTATTTATTGGTTTATGTATTTATTTGACAGAGATCACAAGCAGGCAGAGGGATGGGGGGAAGCAGGCTCCCTGCTGAGCAGAGAGCCCGATATGTGCCTCAATCCCAGGACCCCAGGACCATGACCTGAGTGGAAGGCAGAGGCCTATCCCACTGAGCTACCCAAGCATCCCAGTCCTTAAGTGGTTGTAGCTCATATTTCGTCATCAGTGTGCTATTCGTCTCCCAAAGAGATAGGCCCTAGGAAGCCACGAGTTCGAGACCCTGTGATGCGCGAGTGTCCAGCACAAGAGTAAGCACGTGGCACTCGTCCATGAGAACTTGTCAGATGTTAGCTGAGCCCATCCCTGCTTGGCTTCCCTTACTCCCACTGTGGTTTCTTTTTTGTCTATCTTACGTCACTTCCTTTGGAGCTATTCAGCGTAGGGCCTTGGTACCTGTGTTCATAGACCAAAGGCAGGGGTCGAGTTAGGAAGGCGGTCCCTTGTGAGAAGTGACTCTGAGTAGTTGCCTCTGATTTTGTTCCAGCCAAAGAGGAAAGTAACGCCGTGCCTCTTTGTCCAGCCAAACCCTCCCCTAGCTTTATTAATCTTCCAGCAAGTTCCCCACCGGCTGCTTCCCTGAGCATCCAGAAAACAAAGCCGCCCTCAGGTAAGGATTTGGGGGAGGCGTTCCCCAAGGGACCCAGCGCTGGAGGGGGAGGGCTTGCACGCAGGAAGTGGCCTGAGCTCTCTCCCAGTTGATCTGGAACCAACCCCGGGTCGCTGGCAGCTTGCGGATTGTTCATTCAACTGATTGCATTTTCTTCCGGATTCTACCAATTTGTGTTGGTTTCCTTATTCGCATATTTACTGGGCTAAGCGGGACTGAAAGGAAGATTGTATTGCTTGCTAGTAACTTTAATTAAAAAGCGGCCAGGGAAGGAAACGGTAGGCAGTCGCTCCCATTCCTGTGGGGAAACCCGTGCGTGTTTCGGACACCTGCAGGGAGACTACCAGGCACTAGATTATATGACAGGTCATGACAACAGTTTTTGCTGACCTCAGAGTTTAGCAAAGGAGCCAAGGCCAATAAATACACAAGAAATAGGCACATCACTGCCAGAGTTACCCAGGAGCCGGCTGCAGTCGTTGAGAACAGTAGCAAAGTGACGTGAGACAACAGGAGGGACTGCGGGTCCCCGCTGACCCCATGCTGCACCAGGCTGTGGAAGGATCACAGATTGTCTCACTCACTCATCAATATGTTCTGAATACTTAGACACCAGCACACTTCTAGGTGCTGGGGATAGAACAGCGAACGAATCAGAGCTTCCTGCCTTCCCGGAGCTTATGTTCTAGAGGGGGGCTTAGACAACCATTAAACAAGTGATTGCAGAATAGGCTATGTGATCACAAGTACTATGGGGAAATTTTGGCAAGGGAGAAAGTAACAAATCCCAGTGACAGTTTTCCAGTTAAAATAGTGTGGCCGGGTAGGTGACAGCCGAGCACAGGTGCATGCGGGCTGAGTTGTGCAGGAACGACCGGAGCCCTCCCCGCTGCGGGACGGTCTCTGAGTCTCCCTCCTGCCCCCAGTGCACCTCGTCTGCTCTCCCTCAGGAGTTGACCACAAGCCCACGGAATGCCTGGGACTCCTGGAGTGTATGTACGCCAATCTCCAGCTCCAGACCCAGCTCGCCCAACAGCAGATGGCTATTTTGGAAAATTTACAAGCGTCCATGACACAGCTGGCTCCTGAGCGGGGAAGCAAGAACTCTACTCTCCCAGCCTTATCCCGCAGCCTGTTGTTAAATCACCGGCCCAGTCCACTAAATGAGTCGCCGAACTAAGTCACTGTGTGCGTCTTCTGCTTTCTCCCCGGCAAGCCCTCGGTGGAACCCAGTGTATAGGAATCCTGCACATGGCTGGTTCACAGTCAGCGCTCGCCGGGTGCAAAGCACTGGGCGAGTCACTGGGGATGCGTGTCACGGGAGACCGTCTTGGGATAGTTAGCATCTAACAAGGCAGCTAAGATAATCCCTTGCAAAATGTAGCAGTCCTTGGAGGGGCCTGGAGGGGGGCTGCAGGGGAGGGCGTTTTTAGGGAGGGCAGCTGTACCCATCTTGGACTCTGTGAAGGGGTGGGCGTGGGGGCATAGGGAGATGAAGTAAGGGGGGGTTCATGTCAGTGGAGGGGCTTGGACAAGGACCTTGAGGTAGGAGAATAAGTCACTAGAAATTAGGAGGAGAAGCTTTCCTCCCCAACAGAGGATGTGAGGGAGAATGGAGAGAGCTGAGATCTGACAAGGCAGCTTTCCCCGGGCAATGGGACTAACCACAGCCTCTAGAAGCTCTGATTCTATTGGAGGCACTGAAGAGCCGTTGGAAGCCTTCAGAGAGCAGCAGGGCACGTGTAAGGTCATGGAAACACCATGGGCAGGCATTCTGGGGTGGAAGGGCAATGGCGCGAAACCTAAATCAGTTGATAATGTAATCCGATGTGACACTACTGCTGGCCAGATGAGGGGGTAGAAACAGACAGGCCATCTCCTCAAGACGGAGTGGGGGAAGCTGAGCTGTACTGCAGAGAAGGACTGACTCCAGCAGAGAAGGACTGACTACCAGCTTTGAACTTGAAACACCAAGACACGGCACATAGAAATTTCTCTGCGGGGAAGTCAGTTTAGTTTTAACGAGGGGTCAGGTCCAGCCATAAATTTCCAGTATTTGAGAAGAGGACACATGAGCTTAGCTCAGCCACGTGAGCCACACTGGATCGTCACTTTCACAGATGCGTTGGCAAATTACTCTCAAGACTGGTTCCTTTTCCCCAGACGCCTTCTCTTCCTGTGAAATGCAGGGGGAGAGCTGGGTTGGTTTGCAGAGGTGGAGAGGAGGGAAAGCAGTGATTAAGAAGAGGGTTTCAGGGGTGCCTGGGTGGCTCAGTGGGTTAAAGCCTCTGCCTTCGGCTCAGGTCATGATCCCAGGGTCCTGGGATCAAGCCCCGCTTCAGGCTCCCTGGTCTGCAGGGAGCCTGCTTCCTCTGCCTACTTGTGATCTCTCTCTGTCAAATAAATAAAATCTTTTTTAAAAAAGATTTTATTTATTTATTTGACAGAGAGAGATACAGTGAGAGAGGGAACACAAGCAGGGGGAGTGAAAGAGTGTGAAGCAGGCTCCCCGCTGAGCAAGGAGCCCAGTGCGGTGCTCCATCCTCAGACCCCGGACCCCAGGATCATGACCTGAGCCGAAGGCAGATGCTTAACAACTGAGCCACCCAGGTGCCCCTGCACTACCAAGTTTACTGAAGCATTTGTACAGTAGCTAAGATCTGGAAACAACCTAAGTGCCCATCAAATGACAGATGGATAAAAGGGCTGTGGTCCATATGCCCCGTCCAGCTCAGCCATGACAAAGGAGGATTTCCTGCTGTTTGCAACAACATGAATGCTCTTGGAGCTCGCAACGCCGAGTGAGGGACGCCAGAGAAAGGCCGGCACTCCGCAATGCCACTCACGGAGCCTAACAAGCCAAACTAAAAAGAGCAGTAAACTGGTGGTTACGAGGGGATAGGGAATTGGGCACAAAAAAGTTATATTTAAGGGTACAGAATTGTAAAGAGTCTTAAGCCACAGCGATTTAATGCACAGTATAATGAATATAGCAACAATATTGCAATGGCAATCATATTGCAGTATATAAATGTATCAAAGTAACATTGTACACCTTAAATTTAGGCAGTGTTATTTGCCTAATATATTCAATAAAGTGTTTTTTATTTATTTTTTACTTATTTTTATTTATTTTTTTTTTATTGAAGTGCTTGGGTATCTCAGTTGGTTAAGCATCTGGTTTCAGCTCAGGTCATGATCCTAGGGTCCTGGGATCAAACCCGGCATGGGGTTTCTTGCTCAGTGAGGAGTCTGCTTCTCCCTCTCCCTCTGCCCCTACCCCTGCTTATGCTAGCTTTCTCTCTCTCAAATAAATAAATAAAATCTTAAACAATTTTTTTTGCTGGGGTACCCGGGTGGCTCAGCCATTAAGCGTCTGTCTTCGGCTCAAGCTATGGTCTCAGGGTCCTGGGATCAAGCCCCACATTGGGCTCCCTGCTCAGTGGGGAGTCTGCTTCTTCCTCTGTCTCTCTCTCAAATAAATAAATAAAATCTTTTAAAAATATTTTATTTATTTATTTGACAGAGAGACAGAGAGAGCAGGAACACAAGCAGGGGGAATGGGAGAGGGAGAAGCAGGCTTCCTGCCAAGCAGGGAGCCCAATGCAGTGCTCGATCCCAGGACCCTTGGATCATGACCTGAGCTGAAGGCAGATGCTTAACTGACTGAGCCACCCAAGCACCCAATAAATAAAAATTATTTAATATAATATATAATATATATATAATATATATATAATATATAATATATAAAATAAAATATTTTAAAAAATAAAAAGATTGTGCTCATTTATTTGAGAGAGAGGGAGCATGAGCAGGGGGAGGGGCAGAGGGAGAGGAAGATGCCAACTCCTTGCTGAAGGAGGAGCCTGACATGGGCATTGATCCTAGGACCCTGAGATCACAATCTGAGCTGAATTCAAATACTTAACTGACTGAGCCATCCAAAGGCCCCTTTGTTTTTATTTTTGAGAGAAAGAGAGAGAGCAAGCCAGTTTGGGGAGGGAGAGACAGAGGGAAAGAATCTCAAGCAGACTCTGCGCTGAGCATGGAGCCTGACGTGGGGTTTGATCTCACGACTCAGATCATGACCTGAGCTGAAATCAACAGTTGATCATCTAACCAACTAAGCCACCCAGGTGCCCCTCAGTTAAAAAAAAAAAAAAAAAAAAAAAAAAAAGGAAAAGAAAAAAAAAGTTTAAGTCATGCTCAATGGAAAGATAGTCCATGTTCATGGATAGGAAGACTTAGTATTGATAAGATGTCAGTTCTTCCCAAGTTGATTTTTTTTTTTTCTTTAAAGTAGGCTCCACACTGGGTGTGGAGTCCAATGCAGGGCTTGAACTCACAACCCTGAGATCAAGACCTGAGCCAAGATCAAGAGTCACTCACTTAACCTACTGAGCCACCCAGGCACCCCATTCCCAACTAGGTCTATAGGTTAAATGTAATCTCAATCAAAATCCCAGCAAATTATTTAGTTGATACTGACAAACTTATTGTGAGGTATGTATGGAGAGGAAAAGACCCAGAATAGCAATATTGAAGAACGACATTGGAGCATCTTGGAGATGCTTCCTGACTCCAAGACTTAATGTAAAGCTGCACTAGTCAAGACAGTATGGTATTAGTGAGAGGCTAGATGAATAGAGCAACGGAACACAATGGAGAGCCCAGACATAGACCCACACAAACATAGCCAGCTCCCCTTTGACAAAGGAGTAAATAAAGGTAATCCAATGGAGAAAGGATAGTCTTTTCTTCTTCTTTTTTAAAAGATTTTATTTATTTATTTGACAGAGAGAGACACAACAAGAGAGGGAACACAAGCAGAGGGAGTGTGAGAGGGAGAAGGAGACTTCCCGAGGAGCAGGGAGCCCAAAGTGGGACTCGATTCCAGGGCTCTGGGATCATGACCTGAGCCGAAGGCAGATGCTCAATGACTGAGCCACCCAGGTGCCCCTGGATAGTCTTTTCAGTAGTGTTGGACTAGCTGGACATCCATATGCAAACGTGAATCTAGACTCCATTCTCTCTCACCCCATGTCCAGTCCTTCAGGAAACCCTGTCAGTTCTAGCTTCCAAGTCTACCCGGAGCCTGACTGCTTCCTCCTCCATGTCACCGTGACCACCAGCTCTTGCCTGGATGGTGCCGGCCGCTCAGCTGGCTGCCTGCTTCCACTTACACGCACGCTCGTGCTCCCCAGGCAGCCAGAAGCTCCTTTACAGTAGTAAATCGGATCATGTGACTCCTCTGCTCTTAACTCCTTGGTTGCCCCCCATTATCCCTACAGAGAAGTCGTGCTCCTTACCAGGGCCCTGAGCGCTCCATGTGCGGCCCACGTCTCCGTGCGCCACCCCCTTGCTCGCCACACTAGCTGCCCTGCCCTCCATGCTGTTCCCTCTGCCCAGGGGTCCATAGGAGCTCCTTTCTGGCTCCCTGCCTGTGTCTCCTGAGTCTCCCGAGGCCATCCCCAGCAGCCCAGTCTCACTCCCCTTCCTTTCTGTCCCTCCGTCCTCCTGCCGGCCTCGTCTACATCAGACCTCTTAGGGCATGTTATAGAGCTACTTATGTGTGTTTCCCGCAGCTCCCCCACTAGAAAAGCATCTCCTTGAGGGCAAGGTCAGTGTCTGTTGTTCACTGCTGTATCCCCAGGGGCAAAGCCAGGCCTGCTTGACCTTGTGAATTGTGGTTCCATAAACAGCTAGGGAGGGAAGGACTGAGTGGCTATGATTTTGCTTACCAGCATCACGAGCCCCAGATTTCACATCCTGCCTGGGTCTCAGGGGTCTCGGACTCAGGCAGGCCTGCAGGACAGAGACCCAGAGCAGGCAGCCCGCATCCTACGCGTGCACCGGACAAGGTGAAGTTCTCCAGTGTGACGGCCTAGTCCAGTTCCTCTTCTGCAGCCAGGAGCTTCCTAGAGCCAGGAGCCCATGTCAGGTGGTAGGGACCAGCTCGCCACCTCCGTCCCAGCTGCTCCTGCCCAGCTGTGGACGACCCCCACCAGGCCCCGGACAGAAATCTCATCCAGTCATTCCATCCTGGCTCATATGGGAACATTTCTGCTCAGTTGCTCCCTTTCCAGAGAAGAGAGGTGTTCATCAAAACTCACGTTTGGGGAAGACCAGCAGGGAGCATGGGGCTGGCTAGGAGAGGGAGTCCTTGGACTCCCCGCAGAGGGAAATAGTAGGACATGAGCCAGCTTTCCCAGCTGGTCCAGGATGGACCGTGGTTCTGGTTGGTTCCATGGTGGTGGTGGAGTCCTTGGGAGCACTGAGGAAAAGAAGCTGCGGTGGGGGGTGGGGGAAGGACACAGGGTGTTTTGTCCTGGCCCCCTTTAACAGTAGTCACACCCATATGACCCATTCCCTCCTGGCTTTCCTCTTAAAGGGGCCCACTCAGGCACTTGAGAATTAAATGAACACCCTTCCTTTTGTGTTCATTTTTTTTCTTTTTTTTTTAAGGTTTTATTTATTTATTTGACAGAGATCACAAGTAGGCAGAAAGGCAGGCAGAGAGAGGAGGAAGCAGGCTCCCCGCTGAGCAGAGAGCCTGATGCGGGGCTCGATCCCAGGACCCTGAGATCATGACCTGAGCTGAAGGCAGAGGCTTTAACCCACTGAGCCACCCAGGCGCCCCCTTCCTTTTGTGTTCAAACTAAGGACTGAGGGCCAGTTTCCCCACGTCCCTAGCAGTGCACAGATTTCCCCTAAGGCAAAGAAATGGCCATAAGGCTTACTTGCAGGTTTCCTTATGAACAGCGGTAATCACCGTGAGCTTTGCTTCTGAGGACACGTGGCCGGTCACGTGCTTCCTGGACACTGATGCTCACGACAGCCCCTGGGAGGTGAGTCCCTCCCTGTAACAGGCGAGGAAACTGAGGTTCGAGGCTTGGTAAACAACTGGTGCAAAATCTCTGCGACCGAGCTGAGACTCTGACTTACGTCCTTGCGTTCCAAGGCTACGCCCTTCCCTCCTGCACTTTGCTGTCTCCCAAAACTTTTACTGATCGGGGATTGAACTCAGACCCCCAGCAGGATAGGCAAGGACTGTACTTTGGAAACACGGCTACCGTCAAGCCTTAGTGACTGAGACATCGTCTCCTCTGTCTTGGCGGCCCAAGAACAGGGCGCGGTTCTGTCCCATGTGGTGGCAAGGGAGCGTGGGGGAGACGTCCGCCAGAATCCAGCACAGCACCCGGCCCATCGCCAAAATGCAGATAGAGTGTTAAACATATGAAAAAAACGGG